GTGATCAAATTTAAGAATTATTTGGAAATTAAATAAGAAAAACAACCAAAATAAAGAAGTAAATCTTAAATTTTTTTATATCAATATTTGTTTATTTTCATGGGTGATTTATTATTTGTTTACTTTTTTTTTTAATTTGATTTTTTTACGGGTTACAAAATATTTTATCACGGGTTATAAAATATTTTTTCACAAACTCGCATATATGCTGGTCATTTATCTAGTTATTCAATAAAGGTAAAAGCTACCTAGGAATCTGAAAATAATTTATATTATGAAACCAAAAAAACCTCTAAAACATSGGAAGAAGTATTTTCAAACCATATGTTTGGACTTGAAGCTCTCATTAACGATACTGAATTCTATGGGATAAAACAGTTAGGTATAACTGTGGGATGTGTGGTGATTGTCAACAACGAATCTATTGATCATCACATCAACCAAAGCGTAAAAAGATAAAACATGACTGTTTGTTGACAAGATTAGAGATGATCCCGAAGGAATGAAGCCTCAAAAGATAGAAGAAATAACTAGGAAGAGAGGAAGATCATTTCTGTCAAGGAACAAAGATTCATTGCTCCCATCAGATAGACTTTTTTTTTTGCTAAAGGATTTTCAATTTAAATGCGAAATAAATATTACAAGGATGATGATCTTTTGGATCATATAGTGTTTAGGAAAAGTTGGGAAGATTTAGATAAAAAAATCAAGCATGTAAGCAAGATTTAACGTTAAACAAGCTACAAAAAGAGAGAGTAGATTGAGAAAACTATCTCAATGGGGACTAGTTGGAGAGTCCTCTGCCACCTCGACCTCCACGGCCACGATTACCACGACCTCCAACTATTGTCCATTGCATATCTTGAAATTTTTGTGTTGCTTTGAGTGGTCTTCCACCACGAGATCTCTCCACGTCTTGAACCAAATCCCTTTCGGAAGCATCACTTAATTCCAATAAAGCAAACCTGTTGTTTTCCATACCTTCCACATTTGATTCCCCCTCATTCAAAGTAGTGTTATCCGGTGAAGGTAACGTTTCTTGGTTGTGGACAGTGGGAATATTAGAAGGCTCATCTTTGTCAGATGATGTTGAGACTTGAGCTTCAATCTCATGAACAACAAGACTGTCTGGTGTAGCATTTACGACTGAAGATTTGGTAGAGATATTCAGCTCCATATTCGGTAGAGACATAACATATTCGGTAGAGACAGTCAAATATAACAAGATGTTCAGCTCCATATTCGGTAGAGACATAACATAGACAGAAATCCTCCTGAAATTTGAGCTTGCCTATGCGACGGCACAATATGTGTGGTGAATATCCACTATATTGGCTGGTTTGATGATTAGGTGACACCACGACGCAAAGCTTGAATCTAGATAAAGCAGAATTAGGACTGTTACCATCTAGTCGAATGATCAATGAATTTCCTCTGGCCTGGTGATCAAACTCTGCAGGTATTTCTCTTCCTGGTAAGATAACCATTTCGCAAAAAACCGAACGTTGGATAATCACTTGTCATGCTTGTTCGCCCAATTTGAAGCAGTTGGTGAAATCGAGTTCCRCATWTSGAATGTGATTYAGARGGCAATATACGGTYTCCAGTGATTCACAATYGGYTGCATWWAGGAATGAGAGCGAAACAGGGAGCTCTGGCAATGATGCGAGTCTTCTGCAGCCATGTAGATAAAGTTCTTCTAACTGAAGATGAAGACCGTTGGTCTTTGTTTTGTCTTCATGGTCTTTAGTGTCTTAGGGGCCCATTTCAGTCTTCACACCCAATTCATTACTGGTTGCTGTGTCGTTTTGGACAACAGAGGAGATAAATTTGGGATCCTCTGTTACACTTAGAGACTTCATTAGTTGTGATTGTGCTCGAATATGAGCACTATTTAGTTGGCACACTACTAAATCCAAAATCACTGCTTTTTTTGTCAACACTGATTTCATTACTACAAAAGCAGAGAAACTCGATGAATTGCTTCAGGTAAATTTACAAAAAAAAAAAAATCTATATATAATAGCAATGCTAAAAAAATAAATATTTTTGGGTTGTGTCTTTTCGGAAAAAACCGTTTGGTGGTTATTTTTAAAGGTTGCATCTTTTCGATATAACCGTTTTGTCAAGAGTTGCATATTTTCCAAATAACTGTTTTATGGTTATTTTATTTTCTAGAGTTGCGTTTTTCAGTATAACCACATTGTCAATAGTTGTGTCTTTTCAAAATAACCGCTTTATGGTTATTTTTAAGGGTTACATCTCCTCGGAAAAAAAATTCGTTTCGCCTGTATATATGATTAAACTTTTTCTCTCGTTGAACATTTTGTTAGTCATGGCTATTGGAACTATAATTCACTTAAAGCAAAACAAAGATTAAAAAAAAGTCATTCTATTATATTAATTAAAATTATTCACAAGTATTAATCAGTTTACTATTACAGAAGTTCTAAAAATTCTTGATTTGTGTAAAGAGTTTTAGAATTCTTAGATAATACAAATTTTATGGAAAATTTTATAAAAGCAATCCTAAAAAATGAATATTTATGGGTTGTGTCTTTTCGTAAAATACTATTTTGTGGTAATCTCTAAAAGTTGCATTTTTTGATATAATTGTTTCGTCAAGAGTTGTGTCTTGTCTAAATAACTGCTTTGTCAAAAGTTTCGTCTTTTCCAAATAACCGGTTATTTTTAAGGATTGCGTCTCTTTGGAAAAAAATTTGTTTCGCCTATAAATCTATTAAAAAGTTATCAGACAAAACTAGAATTCATTTTACATTTGATTCGTCAATAAGAAACGCACAACGGGCGCAGAGGGAGCAAGTTATTGAGTCTTGATCTTTTTTTTTTTGCTGTAAATATATCAATCACTTTTACATAATCGTTGATTTATTTTGTTATAAACAAAGCTTAGGATAAACCTTTTTTATTTGCCATATCAAAAGAAGGTTTTTCTTTTTGAAACTTTTAAAAGAAGGTTTGAACTAAATCATTAGTGGTTTTTGATTGTGGGACTAATTCCAGCAAAAAATTTGTCTTCCATCATGCATTTGATGAACCTCATAGGCAGATTCACCATTGACGGTGATGTTAAGAAGATTTGAGAAGTCAAATATGAAAAGAGGTAGGAAGTCATGGTTACCGCTTCAAGTTTCTAGTTAGAAATGATGAGATTTAGTGCAGACGAAGGAGGCTTGGGCTTGGGTCCACGATCGCTGGTGTTAAAGTGCAAAAGCGTCAAGCTGTACATTTCTAATATACCATGTGGTGTGTTGCTATCAATGGATGTAGCAAGTTTTTAAAGAATTTCTACGCCAATTCCAAATCTAAATGAATGGCTATCATCAGTGCTGCTTAACGTTTAAATAGTTTTCATTAGAAATTACATTGTAAAAATGGTAAAACATGTCAATGGCCCAAAGAAATTTTTTAAAAAGTTGATATTGTCTATGAGTTAAAGAAAAACTGTTTTATAGTTACCAATATATCATAAGTTGTGTCTTTTCGAAAAAACCGTTTAAAGATTTGTGTTTTCCAACTCTACATATTTGTTTCATTGAACATTTTTTTATTTATAACTCTACAACACCAATGTATGTAATACATATTCAGTTTTATGCTATTGCATCTGTAACCAAGTCCTCCTTCCACTGATTCAAGATTGAAATACCGAATCAAGTGATAGGAGACTCTTATTTCTAAGAACAAACCACACATGTGCTGCATCATGTTTTCTGAACAGCCAAACTGATTTAGGAAAATAAGTAAAACGTAAAATCACTTCTAAACTGATTTGGAAACTTAAAAGAAACGTACTTGGAAAACCGAACAAAGAAGATGTGCTTCTCTGTAACTAATGTTACACAGCATAATCGTCTACACCATGT